TCTGACATGCATGGTCATACTTAACCATCTTACATACATGGTTATAGTAAACCATCTTAAATGCATGGTCATACTTAATCATCTTTCATGCATGGTTATAGTTAACCATCTTACATACATATTATAGTTAACCATCTTTCATGCATGGTCATACTTAACCATTTTACATACATAGTTATAGTTAACCATCTTACAACTGAAGCATATCAATGGTTAATCAACTTATATTCATGGTCATGGACATATTCGTAGTTACCCATGTAACGGACAGGGTCATAGTGAACCATATAACCAGCTGTAACAAGTCCAACCAGTGGCGATATAACTCATTAACTCAAGTGTCAAACCGACCACTTTTGAAGTGTCACTTTACTCTGCGCTAATTGGGACATTTTACATGGGTGATTCAGCCGATTTCCGTCAGGTTACCGTGAAGAAGTGATGCATATTTGATGTGACACGACACGACAGAGCTGTTGCAAGAACAGATTAGACGTCTAGATTAATGAAACAGTTACATTGTCAGGATCCATGACATCCATTGCATCATCTAGTACTCACAGAAAGACAATTTTTGTATGTGCACGACATCAGTCCAAAAGCCGGGAAATACTGTGTAGAGTCACTTTGTTTGTCGATACAGATGTGTATATCATTCCACGCAGACTAATAGCAAGCGTTCTTTTGGGGAGTACAGGCCTCCTGAGGTGACACCCGTGATCACTGACCTACACTTGAGGGTAAAAGTAGTATTTGTACATAATGTCATTTATCATATTGTATAATAAGTACAATACTCAGACCTAATTACGTCTTTTTTAAAAACAAACTGCACTGATGCTGTTTTGAAATTGACCACATGACCATTTAAAGGAAATGTTATTCAAATTTACCAATATATCTGTCGAATTCCCATGGTGCTAAGTGTTTGTAGAAACGCCATTTTAAGATTTGGTTATTTCCGTCTCCAATGATGAACAGTAGTTCAATGGGAAATACATTTTATGCGTGACATTCTCCTAAAAAATATCATAACACTTAGTTAAAGTATATTGCCCAAACCTTCAATGTGGTTTTCCCTTTGGTCGTAGTTATGCTCTAAATTCCCAGTCGATGATTACGATAGTTGTTGATTGCAATCGGCGGGGCCAAGCTCAGTCAGCACACGGAAATTCAACGCATAGTATCAGATATCGCAATGATGTCGTTTCTTTAAGTCAGCTGATTAATGTTGTCTCTCAAGTGTCATTCGCCCATGATATTCTGGTCCGAATGATTGTTGACAGGATGTCGTCAGACAATCTATTTACTATAAAAGGGTCAGTATGCGAGACTGCACCAAACTCAAATCCAGAAGGAATTAACGTTAGGTTTATTCGTGTTAAGAGCTTTTGCGAAAAATATAGGGGTATATATCACATATGCATGTGTATAACAAATATACTTGGAAGTATATATAATGTATGTGTATAACGAATATGCTTGGAAGTATATATAATGCATGTGTATAACAAACATACTTGGAAGTATAATATATATATATATATATATATATATATATATATATATATATATATATACTCAGCGTAATTTCTTTTCGGGGGGGGGGGGGGTCATCCAGATAATAAGAAATATATTATATTAAAAAACCCGTCGCATTTACAACTTCCATCGTGGATGGCTGCGTTCAGGTGTGTTTGTTGGTAGGTGTTTCCATACCCTTCAATTTCACTTTTCATTGTTTTTAATTGTCGTAGTCCATTTTCCAGTTTCATGAAATCATCCAATCAGTGTGACATAGGCATAAACATATTGTTTTTCAACTGTTAATCGCTTTGTCAACATACTCAGACCTATTGACACTTGTTGGCATATGTTCATTGGTGTGTTTGACATACCTAGGTGACCCCTCAATAATGACGCTGAGTATACATGTATTCATCCCAGTGCTGAAGGTTATAGTGGGTCCAACGGAAATTCCAGTACATCCTCAATGTAAGAGGTAGTAGCTAAACGTACTTACTTGTGAGGTTGATCCGTACACACGTGGTAGCTAAACGTAGAGAGAGAGAGAGAGAGAGAGAGAGAGAGAGAGAGAGAGAGAGAGAGAGAGAGAGAGAGAATACAAGCGAGACAGAAGAATTACGAGCGAAAGAGATAAAGAGGGAAAGCGGTAATGCGAGGGAAAGAGAAAAAGACAAAGAGTTACAACTAACCGCTGTTCGCGTGCTGATGTTCACATCAAGCGTGGTATATTTACATAATCAATAGACAGGCGTCCACGCTCCCGAGGTAGGTAATACTATACGACAAAGGGGATTTGGTGATGGGAACTGCTATCAAGATAGTGATCTTTACTGCCAGGGATAATAGGGCCACACACTTAGGTCAAGTTACTGCATTTCGGTTACAGTTTTTGCAAATGCCACGTGACGCGCAGCACTTTACTGTAAATTGAAAGTCATTTTCAATTATTTTAAATCATTCAGAAAATACTTGTTTTCAATCCCTTGTACTTTCAGACAATAAAATTGAACTAATTTGATTTCGTAATCTCACATATCGTTACTTCGAGCATGTACACTTAACAAGGAAACATATCTTTAATGCTTTTAGCTTTCGTCTTTCATAAGAACAAACGCCATTAACACAACCATACATCATTGATATAACCGTGCACCTCCTATGCATCCTTTTTGAGCTATCGTACAATAATCTAAGACTGTAATACAGACATACTTCCCAATGCAAGAATATGCTTTTGCTATGTTTTTACGTCCTTAACACCATTGGGGCACGGGTTGGCCAGTCGTCCAACGTGCCACAATTCGCTGTTAAGAGTTGCGTCCCTTGGGCACGCCAGAAACCGATGACAACTGTAATGGACACGGGTGGTCCTCAGTCGACGGTGCTGCAACTTGCTGTGTCGAGATGCGTTCATTAGGCGTGCGAAAACCTAAGGTCATGAGTTCGAATCCCGGTTCGCCCCGATTATGTTTCTAAGTGTGTCAGCTATCCGTGCTCGAGGGTTTCAACAAAGTGGTAAACGTCTGAGACCTGCATCACTTCGGGCTTCCCTCCCACAACAAGCTGACACGCCGTATCTGGAATACTGTTAAAGCGGCGTTAAACCCAACTCACTCACCCACTCACTACAATATTATGCTCATGATGCAATAATAAACTTAGAATCATATGCTTTTAGTTAACGCATATGACTTCATACAATCATACCATATATTACAGTAATACCCCTAGTTTTAGGCATATTTAAGACAATCAAACACTTTACATACAATCATACAATAACATATCCTCATTTTGTTACTGTTATTTATGTAGCCAGGGAGTAAATTATTATTATATTTTTTGAAACAATGTCCCACCAGCACGTTGCTTAGTCAGTTCTGTTCTTAACATGTTCGATTATCTACAGATGTCATATTATTCATACAGCTGGACTATTACGGCAATGAACAACAAACAATCTTCTCAACTCCAACCTATGCTTGTCAGAGTTCGTAAAACAAGAATAGGACCACGGATTGGAGTATTCTGAAATGACACCAAAATTGAATGACATGGCACCAAACATTGCCCAGTGTATGTATTTATGTTAATGTGAACTTATATACATTGAATTGTTTCGGTTTCCTGATGTTCCTTTTTGTGGTAGGTAGTTTCAGACCACAGCCTCAGATTGTTCCGCCATATCCCCCTCGGACAGGACACCTACTCATAGGTGAAAATCGAGTGCTCACTGATCCATTGACAGGGGTAATGATAGTGCAGCGCTATGAGCATCCACTTGGTGAATGGAATCTGGCGCATTATAAATGCACTTCTTATTATTACTGTTTAGTTTATCAGATATTTTGTATCCGGAGTGAATGGATGCTCCTGAGATGTTCGTTCTCCATCATCATGCAGGAAGACAGGCGGTCCCTGTTTTCGTGTACCTCTCATCCAAACTATGCAAATGTCACCGTAAACCATAAGTCACTATCCCTTAATAGCTCAATAATATGATCATAATAGGTCATAATAGGACCATAATAGGTCCATAATAAGACCGCAATAGGTCAATACTAGGCCCATAATAGATCCGTAATAAGTCCATAATAGGACCATAATAGGACCATAATAGGACCGTGGGCTTGAATCTCAGAAATGCATCACTTTGAGTTTTTCTCCCACATTAAACTCACACGCCGTGATATAATGAGTGAGATGGGTTTAACGCCGCTTTAAACAGTTTTTAGGTATATGACGGCGTGTCATCTTAATGTGGGAGGAAAACCCGAAGTGATGCAGGTCTTCGACGTTTACCACTTTGGTTCTTACAAACCTAGGATCATTATCGAACCCACGCCATGATATAACTGTCTATGTGGCAATGGTTTGGTTTGTTGTTTTACGCCGCACTCAGCAATATTCCAGCTATATGACGACAGTCTGTAAATAATCGAGTCTGGACCAGACAATCCAGTGATTTACATCATGAACATCGATCCACGCAATTGGGATCGATGACATGCATCAACCAAGTCAGCGAGCCTGACCACCCGATCCCGTTAGTCGCCTTTTACGACAAGCATAGTCGCCTTTTACGGCAAGCATGGGTTGCTGAAGACCTATCCTAGCCCGGTGTCTTCACGGGCCTATGTGGCAATGCCTTGTCAGAGTGTCAGAAATGGTGAATAGATGACGAGGACGGTGACTGAAGAAGGATAGAAGATGAAAATATGCAATGAATACTACAATTGATAACGACATAATTATTGCTAGCCCTAATTCAATTGAACAGATAGTTTTACTGCGTACGGCATTAACCCGCAAGTGACTTTTACGCATTAACTTAGCATGTGAAGGCGTAATTACTCTTTATCCTCGAATTACCCTACTTTTGTCTTTCTTGTCTGGTACGCCGTGATATAACTGAAACACTGTGAAAAGAATAAACAAAGATAGACCAAACTCACATCGTCCTTATGTTACAGATGGGCTAAGTCTGACACAGAATGAAGGTTCATCACGCAATCTTCCTGACTGCCATCCTCTTTGCAACACACCATGGAAGCGATGGAGCCCTAGGCGAGAAGGCAAGATGTGATTTTCCAGACTTCCTTCAGACTCCACCAACTAAATCCTGGCTGTTGAACCACAGCCACACAGTCGTCACTTATGATGTATCTGGAGGGGTTCTCACCGGCTACGACTGCCGCAAGGACAACACGGAGTGTTCCCAGTATAGCCGGGTGTGCTGGAACCGCTTCAGCCACAACAGAGTCCTTGTCAAACATCTCGAATCAGACTTCAAGAACAAGTTCCTGTGTATCCAGTTCATCCAAAGAAGCATCAGCGTCATTCAGATAAAGATATCGCATACCCAGACCGGACATGTTGGTAAGTATCTCTGTAACTTTGAAGATCTGGACCTGGACCCATGGCCATGGATATCTGAAGAACATTTCTCAACCACTTCCACCTCATGCCCCTTCATTGGTGGTTACAACTTTGATCTGTTCAAGTTCAGTGATCACAGCCGGAAGAAGATACAGACGAAATGTACCAGTGCTATCCCTCCCGTGCGAGTAGAAAGTGACTGTGAGCAGGGGGAAGGGATGACGTTTCAGTTTCGAAATTCTGCCTGTCTCCACAACGAAGGTAACTTTGATATGACACAGAATACCAAATGCATTGCGTCCTGGTCTGAAGGGAAGGAACACTTTGGAATTCTTCGTAAGGATTCCGACAGATATTTCTGGTGTGTTAGAGTGAAATTTGGACAAGGAAATGAGGTTTCTAAATTAATAATATTTCTGGATTTGATATGTGATCACACTCTGAACTTCACGTTGACCCAGCGGTATATCGAGCTGGAGAAATTGGAGAAGCGAAAGGTGTCCCATATGTGTACAGACGAATATTATGGGTGTGAGGTGATGAATGAGCTATGCACGGTTTTGTCCGACCTCTGTGCAAGAACCTGTGGAGGTTGTAATGCAAGCCACAAGGCTACCCCTTGTCACTTCCCTGAAAGAGTCCAGGGAACCTGGCTGCATTCGGAAAGAAATGAAAACAAGCATGTGGAAATATCCCAAACTGCTATAAAGCTTCCCAAGTCTGGAGCCTATGAATGTGTCACCTTCCAGGACTTTGTGAGGCCTTTAAGGAGAGTTATACTGCGCCGATTTTCAAACGGTTGTTATCCTAGGTTCATGTGCATGCACTACAACTCCCCCTCTCCATCTGTGATGCGGTTCCGATTGGGCAATTTAGATACGTGGCCTACAAAATTATCGGATGAATCAATTTGTGATGACAAGAATTTTATGACCTACCCCAGCGTACGCAGCAGCATCAGGACCCCCTATTACCGACCTTATAAGAGCTTAGTCAGACTTACGCCTGATCCTCGAGCAGTTGCTTGCAACCTACCACGGATCCTGCCAAGGGCTTTGACAGTCTACGACGACTATGGTATTACGTCCTGTCTTATCCACGGGTCCTTTGCCTCTCCTAGAGAATTAGTTCTAGCAAAGACCCGTAATGGATCGGTCCTAAGCCCAACGAAGTACACATGTCTGGGTTCTTTAACGTTCATTGGAAGTTTCAAATCAATAATAACCGTCACCCAAGGGAGAGAAGACGAATATCTGTGTTGGATAATTGTCAGTAGGAATTTTCTTCTTCAAGTGAAACCTTCATCGTGTAATACTCTTACTGCCAACTTCATTATGGCTAGAAAAAAGACATTCGAGGAAAAGCTCATCAAGAGCTTTTATGTTACCTACTCCAAGTTAAGCCATGTATGTGATGATTATTTCCAGGAGCATTATGCATACAAGCCACATTGGCGCGTTAATATTTTGCCGTATTTGGAGCAGAGTTCCAATTCAAATGGTGAAGTCCGAATTTCTAGTTTGGTGATATCAGTTTTCTTTATTCTACACGCTGCTATTTGCAATGTTTCATGATTGTACTTTTTGTAACTGATAATATTTGAATGTACAAAAACATGTTTATCACGTGTACAGTCCTTGTTCTTTATTTAGAATTTAGAATTTAGAATTTAGTTATCGACGGCCGATGTCACCTCTTGGAATGCTTATTTCATTTTGACTGCAATTTAAAATAATAGCCATGTCTTTTTCCTGCAACACTCTGCCAGTATCCATTAGGAATTGAAATAAGCACTCTGTCGAGAAATACAAATTCTTTATGTCAGCGAAGAGCGTTTCAATTTTTCAGATGTCTGTCGTAAAGGGAAGTAAATATTCTCTGTCATTTATGAAGGTGCCCATTATAGAAAGAACGAGGTATATTAAGGACTCCTTTCGTGCATATTAGAATAAATAAATTTAAAGGAGGGGAAGCCTTTGAAAAAACAATGTTCAAATGAAAGACAAATGGTATATTTTCGTGGAATATTATTAGACTCACTTTTAAATATTCGCCTCACTGCAACATGAAGTACAGAGTTATTACCAATGTTCTGGAGAAAGAAATGAATGTACAATAAACATGTTTATCACATGTAAAGTACTTGTCTTTATTTAGAATTTGTCTACTTTTAAATTTCTAAACACAAATTATTTCAACAGACCTTAATTCAACCGAAGTTTTCCAATTCTTGACATGGCAGTTTGGAGCTGCGAACTACTATGTGATGCATTTGTGATCATAATTATTTCAACAACAACGAGTCGTCCGTGATAAAGAGAGTACACAACTTGTAAGTTACAATCTAGTGCTAGACCAAATAACTGAGCATTTCACTTGAAGTCACATGAATTCTCATTTGAATTAGATACTAGTACTTGACAGATTGTCTGTAAATTATACTCATTTATACGATGTGTTTGACAGGGAGAATTCTGTATATATCTCTTATTCAGATAGTAAGCCAAATAGTGCTTTGTGTATTTGGTTTTATCAGCTACAAGTATGTAATTGATTTAGACGTAAGTCATGATCAATTTCATTTATTAACTATCCTTCTACACAAACCTAATTATTTTACCGACGGACGTTGTCACCCCTGGGAATGCTTATTTCATTATGACTGTAATTTGAATTTCATAACCATCTCTTTTTCCTGCAACACTCTGCCAGTTTCCATTAGGAATTGACATAAGCACTCCATCGAGAAATACAAATTGCATTAGGATTCGATGCTGTCTCTGTGCAGTCTACGTTTTGAATGTTTTGTATGTATGCTATATGTATTTATGCATGATGACGACTCCCCGAGACTATAACATCTCTTTTTGTGAAACACTAAATAACCTTTCAGCAATGTATACAATTTAGACATTACACATCTTATTATATACTTACAATCCCTGCAGAATTGTAAGGTGTTTGGCAACACGCAATGAACAGACTCTGGCTGACTCTTGATTATGCTGCCCTGCTTCTTATAGCTGGAGTTTCATGGTCCAATCTACAAGTGCATCTAATTTCCTTTATGTCAGCGAAAAACGTTTCATCTTTTTCAGATGGCTGTCGTAAAGGGCAGTAAACATTCTTTGTCATTTATGAAGATGCCTATTAAAGAAAGAACGAGGTATATTAAGGGCTCCTTTCGTGCATATTAGAATAAATATATTTAAAGGAGTGGAAACCTTTGAAAAAAACAGTGTTCAAATGAAAGACAAATTGTATATTTTCGTGGAATATTATTCGACTCACTTTTACATATTCGACTTTCTTCAACATTAAATACAGACTTATCACCAATGTTCTGGAGAAACGACAACTGCAAATCAGCGGTCAAAATATGAAATGTTCACAAATGAATGCAGTGTTGTAGCGTATAGCTTGGTTACACTTACTCATAGAAAAATGCTCCTTGATTTGAATGTTTGTATGATACCAAAACCTGAAAAGTGTTTAAAAGAAAATTACCAGCTGCCAGTCGATTGACTGTATGCCATTTCAAAAAACTCTTCTTTTCTCTAGTTGGAAATTTAATAGTTCTTATGTGCCAGAAAAAGAAGAAATATGTGCCAGAAAAAAAAGAAATATAACTACATTGATTGTTGGCCTTTACTTGTGATTATTTAAAGAAAGACAATGGTTAGTGGCATATATCAAAATCACTACCTTCTTTGGGTCCGATGCATTCACTCATCTATGAAAAATAAGAGACCCAGCGTCATGAACCAGATCATACTCTGTTGTGACACAATCTCATTGAAATCAGATCATAGTTCGCGCTGCCGCTAATCACAGATCTGAAGACATCCCATTACGGGTCACGTAAGAACGACCTTACATTCATCCAATCAGATCAGGAAAGTGACAGTCGGCATGTGTTGTCTTATCATTGTAGCGGCCATAAATTTCCGAGTCCCGTGATGGGATTCGAACCACGGACCTTCTGATCAGAGGTCGGACGCCTTGTCCACATGACCAAAGAGGTTAACCCCGTCAGCAAACTGACAAGTTAAGGATGTCATCTGTGGGATGACTCCACGCCCTGCTACATACTCCCCCGTCAACAGAAGGCACGTCCCGGGCCGCATAGTAGGGTACTGAGGCTTATTTTGCTCAAATTTAATATGAACGTGCTCAGCCCCACGTTGGGCGCCAATGTAGCGGCCATAAAATTTCCGAGTCCCGTGATGGGATTCGAACCACGAACCTTCTGATCAGAGGTCGGACGCCTTGTCCACATGACCAAAGAGGTTAACCCCGTCAGCAAGCTGACAAGGTAAGGATGTCATCTGTGGGATGACTCCACGCCCTGCTACATCATGCAACCTCGAAAATGTTAACACGGGGTATTCCGAACGACAGTTACATGTTGTACGACTGATTCAGTCAAAATCATCGTCCATCTCTCACTTCAAAAGGGATAAACATTTGAACAGATGAGACGTTGCATAGCTCGTGGGAAGCACTTCCACACACTCCCGACCATACATTAAACATCCCAGAATGTTCATTTGTTCTGTTTTCAAATTTGTAATCGAGAACTTTGTCAACATATTTTTCAAGGATAGTCCTGAATGGAAGTGGCTAGTTTGAAACTTGTCTCGTAAAGCTCGAGAAAGCTGCTTTCTGATTGGCTAATGTCGACCTCTGGTTTATCAATCAATAAGTCGATCAAAGTTTCCCGAAAGGTCGTTCTGACGTGAATCGTAATGGGATGTCCTCAGATCTTTGTTTAGTGGAAGCGAGGACTAAGATCTTATTTAATGAGATTGTGACAGGTCACAGTCGCCAAATGAAGCGCATTGTATGTGTAACGCTGTTATTGCATGACTCTTAACAGGTGTGAAAATACACGTGATGACAGGCGGATTCCCTCAAAATACACATCATATGATTCACAAAATATAGTAGGAGGGAAAACTAATGCAATGATAACAACATTATATTTTCTTTATTAGCACAAAATAACGTTTTCATTCTGATTAATGTCTCATTTACTTAATGACATTTTAACTAAATGTCAAACTTGGTTTCGTCTTTCCATCGTCTAATTTACACATTGTTATGACTTGTTTCAATATTGTTCCTTTGGACTTGAGCAATATGTCAGGCTCTAAATTTGGCTTTCTTTTCTCTCCTGTACATCGTGTTTTGTTCCTTGTTGCGTTCTATTCGTTTTAAACAATAGATAGTAATAAAGTTGTTAGTAACTTATTTCCACCATTGGTTAAAATATTAATATTAAGAAATATAGGTCAAGAATGAATTTATCATATAATAAATAGGGTTATCGATAAACCGATCCGCTAAACGTGATAGAACGATCCGAAAAATATGCAAATGAGGTCAGGTGTTAGGAACTTCTTTGGATGAGCTCCATACAGAAAATGCGATTCCTACTTGCAAGAAAAAAACATTGCCTTACGTTCCCGACTTCCCAACTTGTTTAGAGGTTTCCCGATGTGTGAGTGTTTCTGTAAACAAACATGGCTGCAAATCATTGGGCACTATATTGCAGACATAGGCATTGTATTCATACGCGGTTTCTAAAGCTACTTTAATGAATGATAATATCGCTTAAACTTCAATTACTTTCAGAATGATATTACCTGATATAGAGATTAGTACCCTCGCGTATTTCGTATCGTAAATATCATACATTAGCCTCCAATAATACAATTTTTATTCCTAATATATGATGTTTACGTTACGACAACAAATAAAGTATTGCTGCTTCCGATAGTATTTAAATCACACCTTGTCCTTTGTTTTGCATGCGTTCCCCACTAAATCTTAATCCCACTACATACCCGTGAAGATCCGGGTTAGAATAGGTCTAACCCATGCTTGTTGTAAAAGGCGACTATGCTTGTAGTAAGAGGCCACTAACAGGATCGGGTGGCCAGGCGCGCTGACTCAACTGCGTAGATAGATGCGCAAGATCTGGTCCAGACTCGATTATATAGCTGGAATATTGCTGAGTGCAGCGTTAAACAACAAGCAAACAAACAAACAATAAAACTCCACTTCATGATTGGTTCGTTCTAATATTCAAGAATAACTGCATTATACCTGAGGATGACTTCAGCTTGCCAATCATCCTCTTCCTTTTATGTCGAGCAATATTCCAGGAGCGACACCCTTTGGTGTATACTTTTCACAACCTTTTAAGAACAATCGAGCATGCCTTTCCAACGAAGATTTCAAAGGGTGTCATACGACTGTCGTTTTGATCAGGGTTACAAGATTGAATGCCTTATTAAAGCTTTCAAAACATTTATAGTAGACATGTAGAGGGCACTACTGAAATTTGACGCATCAGTGACACAAGGGTGTCATCAACGTTGTGTTCTTCACAAAACTCCCACGGCATTCTGCGATGGTTAGATAAAACCAAAAATCTTTGTACTACTTGAAAACTGATTTGTGAAGCTTAAAAAAGGAATAAAACAAACAATGTAAACTGTACATAAACATATAATCAGTTTCACTGACAAATGTATAAAACATTGCATTTTCAATACGTTATGTATTCTCATCACTATTACATACAACGATAAGTGTTATATACTACCCCAAAAAGAAACGCATATATGGTTTTCAAGACAGTCGTTATGTGACTCAGCCTTTAAACGCAACGGGTCGTGGAAGATTTCCTCAAACGCTAACAGATGGATCATTTTATGTGCCGCTTGTTACGTCACCTGTGATCTCAAGCACAGCAGTTGTAAAGCCTATTAACTGTGCGTCCACCATTGGCCTGGATGACTCCACGTCGCCTCCTGACCATCATCTTCCCTAGGCAAGAGAGTTAACTGATTTCTGAAGTCCAGTTTCTACCCTCGCCGAACTAGGCTGGAATTCCTGGACTCGATCGTAGCGCCACCAGTGATTTTTACGAGTTACGTCCCCTCTAAGCCTCTCATATGGACAGTCATATTTCACCTCTCTCATCACTTGCATCAATTCATGTTTTTTGTTTCAAACAAAATGGCGGCACCCAGTCAAGACGATCTGATCGATAATCTAGATCTATATCTTACATCGCGAAGTGCATCAAATCACGCAAGCACCTTGATTAAAAACATGAAAAG